AAAACAGTAAGGCAACATTGTATACTCGTACATACAGACAGCACCGCAGCCGCAGCGGTATAATTAGAACCATCTTTTCAGAAGGCAATTTGGCAGCAAGAGGTTTCAACCGCAATAAAAATGCTCACAAGGCCGGCCCGGAAAGCCCTCTCCTGATAAAAATCTCTCTCCTGCTCAGAAAGCTGGAGACCCGAGAGGTTCATCATAGCATTACCAGTAGCAGCAAAAACAAACCAAAACCAGAAGGAAATCAAACAAAAGAAGTATGTATTATTAATGCATTCAACAAAATGTAAGAGCCAACAGGTGCCACTGGCTCGCCTGAAGGGACAGGTTCTTTCTGAGGTGATGAAAACATGTTAAAAGTGACTACGGTGCACATATCTGGGAATGTACTAAAAATCGGAAGTGTACATTTTAAATGGGTGAATTGTGTGGTGTGGGAATTCAAGCTCAATGAAGTTGCATTTTTTTTTATTAAAGGAAAAGCACTCATTATTAATGCATGTGACAACACGCGACTGCCAATGCACATCCCAGCTGACACGGAAGGGAAGACACCCTCCTTCAGGGAGACTCCAGCCTCAGCGGGGAGTGTGTCACTTAAACACATGATCATTAAAATGCAGTGGGCAAAAGTGCTCCGATAGGCAAGTTCCGTACCCCGTGGGAACGTTGCAGAGGAAGGCGAGCTGGTGTGGAGGGACCAAGAAAGCCTCCACAGAAAGAAATAAACGTGGTGTCTATGCTGAGATGTGAAGGATAGACAAATGCGAATGTCAGCCAAATGAAGGCAGGCAGAAATGGAGGGGGACAGCGGAAAGCGGGTGGGAGGAAGAGAAAGGGCAACCCGTCCATGTGGGCACGCCACATTCTCCGTTCATCAGTCTGTTCATCAGTCAAGGACGTTTATTGTCTGTCATCTCCACTTTGGGGCCGTTATGCAGGATGCTGCTAGGAACACTCATGGGCAAGTTTGTGTGTGGATTTTACACCTGCTGAGTCTACACCTGGGCGAGGCGCAGCTGAGCCACATCTCACCACACTGCTGCAGCTAACTTTCAGTACAATCAGGTCAAGTCCTGCTACCTGAGACTACTCCTTCTGCTCGGTCTGGTCTGGTCTGGCAAACACTGATGTGTCCTTCAAGGTCAAAATCACCTTCTTCATGGAACATTACCCAAATCGTTCTTCCACCCCTGAGAACTGTCAATGCCCCTATGATGCCAGACACCCGTTTATTTGCACTCGATCCAACACGGCCCTCGCTGGCATTCCCACACCCTTCTCCAGGAAGAATCCCCTCCAATGGTCTGAACGCTGAGTGCCCACGGTGGTGGGCATCTCACTCAGCACAAAGCCTAAGACTAACAGCCTGGGAGCCAGCTCCTTCCTGGCAGGTAAGAAAACCAGGGCTGCAAGAAGATAAATTATTTGTCCCTGGTCACAGAGGTAGGAAAGATAGTGGGACTCAGAGCCAGGCCTGCAGTAACTCAGAATCTGATACCCACAAATGACAGTAGCACAAGAGAACCAGGGGATGAAGAGGAAGAGGGAGAGGAACAGAGGAGCAAGCCCACGGTGCCGAGCACTCAGCTCTGCCGGGTTCAGAGGGCCCTGCACCCTCCCGTCTTGTGTGCTCCACGAGGAGACGGATGCGTGTTCCCATAAAATGAACCAGACGAGGAACTCGAGGCGTCAGTAACCTGCTCAGTTACCCAGCTCGTGAGTGAAGAAGGATCTGAACTGAGACCTAAACACAAGTCATTCGGCCACACTTCCATCCCCCCAATACTTACTGGGGTGGAAGGCAGGGACAGTCACTCACTGTTTTGGGTGAGGCCTGAGTGACACTAAGGAGCCAACCATGTAAGGCCCTTTTGCCCGGGTGCCTTAAGATGAGCTCCTTGAGGAGCTTGCGGGCGAGGTGGGAAGGAAACAGCCCAGCAAGTCCCCTCCTGCAGCCTGGAGTAGCGGGGACGGCGACAGCAGCAGGTCCCACGCGGTGGACCCCGAGGGGAGTGCTGCAGCCAGAGAAGGGATGAATTCCTGGACGGCGTGAGAGACGTGGACGTGCAGGGCAGACGGAACAGCATGTGTGCAGGCACCAGAACAGAAACGCGGCTGTAGGGGGAGCTGCAGGCTTTCAACGGCCAGAACACAGAGTGGAAAGGAGAGTGGGAGAGGCCAGAGCTCAAGGGAGTGTTGGCACGCGCCACCTGTCCCTCAGGCAGCCCCCTTCCCATGAGGCTCCTGTGCGGAGCCTGCGGCGGGCTCCCGTTCACATCCCTCGGGGCTCATCAACCTACGGTCACAAGGCCACACGCAGCAGCTGGTACGTCGTCCCCAGCAGGACGCCCCAGAGAAAGTGACGCGCGTCAGCGACCGTCACAAGGAGCGGAGTCATGCTTCCAAAGAAAAGTCCTCAAGTTGGCGCTTCCATCTCGCCAAAAAGGACCCACGTCCTGGGGAACTGAGAGCTCTTTCCCATAAACAATCGCCCTCATAACTTGGCCTTGTGCGCTCACTCACATGCACAGGTACTAGAGGGCGTGTGGGGGGCAGGGAAGGGCAAGGCATGCCCAGGTGGCGCCCCTTCACCTGCGAAACCAGGACAGGCCTGCGTGTGGAGACGAGCCCCTCCTGAAGCCCACTGCCGTTCCCTCCTTTCTTGGCCGCTCTTCTAATCCACATTTAATCTCCACGCGGCAGTATTCAGAAATGCTAATTATCCACACTGCAAGCGGTGCTGTGAGCTCTCCAGAAGAAAGGTCATCCCATAAACCAAAACACCTATCATTAAAATAATAACAAACCTCCACACAATGTGTGCTGTGCTAGTTGTTCAAATGAGAAAACGGAGGCCCAGGAAGAATCTAATTATTGATCTGAGGGCCTGGTGATCAGAGGTAGAGGCTAATGGAAAGAGCCCTTTAGACCGCCTGACTTTTGTCCTTTTCTCAGAAGACTCCAATTAACCAAACACCACTGCACACAGGCCTTGAGGGAGACGGCAATTTGTTCAACAGCGTCAGACGGCCCAAGTTCCTCCCTTCGGAAAGTTGTGTCTTTAGATCACCGATTACCATGACCTCAGAGAACCAGCAAGGCCCGCTCTCATGCAGCTTCAGAAGGGAAGGCAGGTGCTGCCAACACAATGTGCCAGTGAGAAGAGCACGAAGGGGACCAACAGCAGGAGGCCTGGTCTCCCTGGGGACTGATAACAGGCTTCCAAGAGGAAGTCCAGGTCCAGGGGAGTCATTTGGTAATGGCGACCGGGGACGGGACAGGGGGAGTGCAAAGGCCCACCATGGGGATAAGACGTGTATTTATGAGAAAAAAGTCCAAGAGGAGGCAGGTGAGGCAGGTGGAGGTGTAAGCAGCTCCGAGGAGGGGTGTGGGCTTGTCACCATAGCTTACACACTTAAATGTGAGGGTATGTGAGGAAAAAGGTACCAAGGGAGAGCAGGGCCATGACAAAAGGGGAGCAGAACAAGTGTCAGGGGTCAGGATGGCACTCCAAACTCCAAGGCCCAGTGAAGAGTCCACTCACAGTTACTGCGTCCTGGGGTGGTTCAAGGAGCCCGGGGGATGGGCGGCAGGCTGGGCAGCGCCCTCAGGGGCTCGGAGAGCCGGCCACCACTCAACAAGCCAAAATCCAATGCTGTGAGCACCAAAGAGCCCCGGGCCCGCCCCATGTCACCACAGAACACCAGCCTCCCCCACACCAGACACTCACTGTTCTGCTCTGCTCTCACGTCACAGAAACCCCAGTGCAAATCATCCATCTCGCCACGGTGGTCTTGCTGCTGAAGAGCCAAACTCCACAAGGAGCGTGAGGACAAACCAATTCAAAGGCAGCGCTGCAGCCCACAGAGTGCACGGACACATCGGGGAGCCATGCTGCCACCCGCTGCCGCCCATCAGGGACCACAGTCCCGCAGCAATTCGCTTGGTCACCTAAATGAAAGCGATAGCTACCCCACAACCGAGAAGGACGCAGATGACCACAGTGTGAGGTAAGGACTTAAGGACCTTCGTCACGGGAGTTCCAGGAAGGAGAGTCCGTCACCAACAGGGCAGGCCGTGGAGCGCCTCGAGGACACGCGACAGCTCTGCAGGGCCACCCAGCCCAGCGCTCAGGGGCCCACGAGGCCCACCTTCCCTCTGCCCAGCCTGCCAACTTCCCTGCCATGCAGTGGGCGTTGATGCCAGGAGCACTTCCTAGTAAACTTCCCACACACTCTCCTCCTGTCAGAATGGTCCCCACAGAACCGTGCCCACAACACACACTGGACTGGTGTGACAGACACGGGCAGAAAGGACGTGTGATGGGGGCGCAACGGTGCCCCATTTCTGATGTGCTCATGCAAGTGCGTACAGAGCCTGCGAGGGGAGATGTCCTGCAGGCAGCAAAATAAACAGATCTGGGGCTTGGGGGCACCTGGGTTGAAAGCAGATTATAGCTCAAATCCCCAAAGCAGGTGGCACCCAGGAACAATGTGAGAAGAGAGGAGGCAGCCTGACATGTGATCCGTTCGGAAGGCAGGGAGAAGTGGCCCTTGAGGGCAGAAGTGACAAGAAGGATCAGGAAGGGCATGTTTGCGACCTGGGTACCGAGGATGGGGCCGTCACTTTGTGAGAATTCACTGAGCTGCATTCTTGTGCAGTGTGAGTTTCTCTATATAAACATTACACGCTGACATGTATAGTTTCCACAATGCAGGCAGACACAAGGGGCAGGGGGCTGAGACGTAGAGAAAAGCCAGGGAGTGTGGTGAGAGGGCCCAGGAGAGCCCTGAAGGGCACGGCGGGCAGCGGCACCGGGCACCCGCGAGGGAGGGGCAGCCTGGGGAGCCGAGGGCACAGCGGAGCATGGCATCCTCTCACCAGCCGAGAACTGGGACATCACCCACTGAAACCTGAGCCCCGGTGCTCATGGGGCCAACAAGCTCTCACGCATCGTTCCGTGAAAGAACTCCCAGTCTGAATTCGCTCACCTTGATCCGACAGGAAGTCCAGCATGGTCTGCAGCAGGAAGGACAGGTGCCTGACAGAGAGGGCGGGGTTCCCCATCCTTCGCGAGGCGTACACCAGCTCGTGAAGCAGGCGCATCTGGACGGCCGCCCAGCCTCGGTGCGTGCCTGCCACGGAAGTCAGAGCGTCATAACAATGCTTCCCAACGGCACACTGGCCGCGCGAAACACAGGCTTAGGTAAAGTGTGAAACTCGGGGACTTAAAGGCAAGCGCCTCAGCTATCAACCTCGAAGGAAAACAGAAAACAATGTGTTGACTTACCCTGGAAAAGAACTCTAAAGTGGTCATTTTTTTCACACACTAAAATATGTTTTATATCATACTTTCTCTCTTCTGCAAAGAGACAATTTTTAAAAATAATCCATTTTGAAAAAATTAGAATAAGGCTAGAACAAAAGATTGTTTTCAATGGCATGTATCTGAGCTTTAGATGTACATTTCTTTTCCAGTAAAACACTGATATTTGATGGGCTTCATTACCAACAAACCACCAAGGACATTAAATTAAAAAGCACAACAGTTCTCTAAGTGTAACGAAAGTACAGAAGAACAAGTAAATTAGAAACGAGGATGTCAGCCAGCTTTTGTGGCCGCTCCTCCAAAATAATGTAGCGTGTTTGAAAGTCAAGGTGGGGAAATCCGCTGCACAGCCACTGAAAAGTAGCTCTTTAAGATCACAGAACTTTAGGCTCATTTATTCCAGTCCCCTTTCGGCAACAATTACCACAGGCAATGACGAAGAAGACTGAGTGTAAATTTTCCTAACACTAAATAGTGAACAAGCCCTAATTCCTGTGTGATTCAAATGGCTCCTCCCATAAAAACTGAATGTTTTTATTCTTAAGACAGATCGGCAGCACAGGACCCAGCAATAGAACTGCCAACACTCTTACACTTCAGCCCACCAATCTGAGGGTTTATTACATCAACTATCGCCTGTTAGCAAATCTATCGGCCTTGCCTGTCTCTTTCATAAGAGCTCCTGGGGAAAATTTCATCCTTCGCTCAGGAAAAGGCTGAGCAAAAGGAATAATCAAAAATTTTCATATAGAGCAACACAGATAAGATTAAAATGATAACAAGCCGCCCTGTAAGCTGGCAAATACACACAGCACGCATCTGTGTTCCTATGTCGACTTTTCTCAACCAGCTAGTGAAAACGTTCAATTCGAGAAATAGGTAGAAGTACATTTCAGGTCCTGAGAATACAATTTACCTTCTATTCACAGATTTCCATTAAATTTTCTGAGAAACGTTTAAAGTGGTCCAGAGCAACCGTGGGGATGGGGTTTAAAGTGACTTTTATTTCTTATTAAAAATATATCCAGCTGACACTTATCATTTGTATTTTGTTTGATCTCACTCCCTTACCATCTTTTCCCAAGCTCCTTCACAAAATGATGGCGAATGTCCCTTCCTGAGGCAGAAAGATAAGTAAAAAGTATCTAACTACGTGGAGGTGTGCTCATGTGCTTTATTTTTCAAAAGAGACAAGTTACGTTCATCTCATTTACAAATTAAGATCAAGAAAGAAACTCGATGCAATAAATGTCAGCAAACATATGTCACTATAGCTGTTCATTACATTTGGTCCCACGTTATACATATTTACCGGACACCTGCCATGTGCTGGGGACACAGTGAATGTCAGGGGCCTCTGCTCACAGGCCAGTGGGAGGGGCAGAGGTGAAATCATTTTATTTTATTTGTACCCGATTTATTTTAAATGTCCTTACAAATTATGGGAAGTGCTACAAGGGAGGGCAGGAGCCAATGAAAGAGAAAAACAAAAGGATTCCATTGAGGCTGAGGTTCCACTGAGGGACTGCTCTGAAGAAGTGACATTCAGCTGAGACCTGAAGGGTGACTGGGAGTCAAGGAGGTGAACAACCAGGGCACTGAGTCCTGGAAGAAGGAACAGCCATCAGGAGACCCGACAAATGCACTCCTGGACATTCTACATAATGGGCCCCAGAGCAGAGAGAAAAAATTAAGATAACTCTGGGTGTGACGGTTTTCAATCTACTGCTCTGAAGCCAGTCCAGAGTTATGGTCAAAGGGTACCAAAAAAAGTAACTGGAAAGCCACCTCCATCTTCCCTGACGTCACTCAGAAGCACGCTAATGGGGGTCCATTCACAGAGCACACGGAGACTTCAACGCCCTCTCTCACCTCTCTGTAGCTCAGCCTGCCCCCATGAAGTGTCTCCGGCATGCCGTCTCCACGAGCCCGTCTCCACCCTCCTCCCCCGCTCAGGCCTGCAAGTCTCTTCTCATCTCATCTCCCAAAAACTCCTCGCCTTTCTGTGCAAATCCACAAATTTTAGGGCCTGTCCAGTCATCTCTGTCCTCATCCTGACTCAGTCTGACCTTGGCTCCCAAATCCAGCAACACCCTCACCACGCATCAGACCACCCTCTGCTTCTGAAATGGTCCGCTGCCCGGCTGGCCAGCAGGGACCTAGAGCCATGCCCTCAGGTTGCCCTTCCTGACTCCATCACCTAGGAGTGTTCCCAGCAGAAACAGCACAAAGCAGGACCCAAGCTCCCCATCTGGACCCCAACAGCCCCATCCGTAAAGACGGGAACAGTTAACTCAGTCTCCTCAGAATCAGGTGAGACCTGTGCCGGCACACAGGCGCCACACCACCCCAGCCCACCACTGACTAGGAACTGGACCTGGACGGGCACCTCAAGGTGACAGGCTCGGACCCCAGGACAGGGAGCCCAAACGGGGGCAGCTCGCGCAGGGGCCCAGCCCAGAGCCCCCACCGGCAGTCATAGCCCCCCAGAAGGTTTCTATCTCTAGACGGCGAGTCCCTGTTGTCCTCAGGCTACAAGATGACATTTACGGTGACACCACATGGTGTTGGGGCCTCGGTGAACTAAGGGCTGTCCAGAGTGGAAGCAGCCCTAAGACGCCAACAGAGGCCCAGGAGGCCCCGTGCGGGGTGGAGGGCAGTCTCAGGAAGCACCTTCCCCCGCTGCCAAGGCGCCTCGTCTGTAGGAGGGGACATGGGGGCCGGGCTCCCAGGCACCATCAGTAACCACAGTCCATCTGAGGTGCCCGTCAGGACACAGGTGCTCAGTAACCCCAGCCTCCCTCCCATCTCCTGGAAGGACAGTAGGGAACAACAATTAGAGAACAGAAGAGCAAGTGACATGGCAGCGGGGAACACTGGTCAGGATTTCTGTTTGGGTCAGAAAGAGCACGTGGGAGAGAATGCCACGCGTGGGTTTCGCATTTCACAGAGGTGTGTTTATCCTCAGCGCCCGGCAGGGTGTCCAGCACAAAGCAAGAACCAAGAAAAGCTTGCTGAATAGCAAGGCCTTTGGAGACCTGGTCCCCAGCTCTGCCCTGGGCCTCCTGCACTCAATACCATCACCAGTGGCTGAGACAAAGCCAGGGACAGAATTCAGGTTCAAAATGACTCGACCAACAACATGAGCCACATTCGTGCATGGTATTCAACCAAGGCAAACATCAAGTCCCACGTTTAATTTTTTAAAAATCAGCAGCATGGGCACAGGATGGAGGAGACCTGGCAGGGTCACGCGATGATGCATGCTGTATGTGAGCCGGATTTAAAAAGGGAAGGTACTCAGGCTACGTGAACAAGACAGCAGTGGTGTTGTGGGTCTGCGATCGGACCCCTGTGGCAGCAGAGGGCAGGACATCTCAGGCCCTAGAGACGGAAGTCCAGGGCGCTTCAACCCTCCTAACCCCCGCTGCGCCCACGTGCCCACACTGAGCCTAGCTCTTCCTAGCCTACAAACCGAGCACCGCCAGCCGGAGCAGAAGTGCCCTGGCCAGTCCCTGTACAGGAGCGGGAGGCTAAACGCAGGACACAGTACATCCCATCCTGGCTTCCCCTCACTCCCCAGGGGCTGCCTGCAAAGCCCCTCCACCATCTCCCTCTGACCCTCCAAGCCCCTCCTTCTAAAGGGTTTGGAAAACTGTCTTTAAATAATTTTGGCCAAAAAAAAAAAGATGATTTTAGATAGGACTGTGCTCTCAGCCAGGGATGTGGCAAATTGCACTCCGCACACCACATCTGGCCTGCCACCGACTTGTGCAGAGTTTCGTGGGCTTCCACACTATCTGCAGCGGCTTTCACACCACGGCGGCAGAGCCAGGAGCTGCCCTGGAGGGCACACGGCCCACAAGGCCCCAAATCCTGACTCTCAGCCCCCGACACTAAGTGTGCCCATCTTGCCCCAAGCTACCCAGAATCCATCCTGAGGCCGATTTCACAGAGATGGACGTTATCGGACGAAACTGCTGCTTTGGGAAGATGCTCGTGAAAGTGGGAAGTCAGGAGAGACTAATTCCAGGCAACCATCACATCTCCTGGAGACAGATTAGAGCAAGGCTCTGGAAGGACCTGAGCCTCTGCACACAGCCGGGGGGCGTCACAGGTGAGAAGCTGCCTGTTCAGTTCTATCTGGAGGCAGGAACTGTCCCCTTCACATTGCTCCTCCTACCTGGCACACCACGTGGCACCTGGCAAGAGGGTACCACGTCGTCTGCTGAAGAACGGATCGCACGTAAAGCATACGTGGCGCGGGGCGTTCCAGGAGAGGCAGGAAGGAGGCAGGTGATGTCTACTCAGTGGGGGGGCCCTAAGAGCCAGGATTAGCAGGAGCACAGCTGGACTGGTCAGTAAGAACACCAGCTGCCCAGGTCAGTGCAGGTCTCTACGCTGATACACGTGACCATACTTTGCCCTAGATGTCACTCTGTCCTCTTCCTATCTGATAACTAGATGTGAACTGGAGAAAAGTGCTATGCATTTCCTCCCTAAAACTGTAACCAGAAAGAAGTTTATTCTCCGCTAATCACCCTCGCCTGACACTGGCCATTACACGTGTGAGTACCTGTTATGAGGCTCGCAGCTTCATCTTTACCATGTGCCACCCTCCATTAATACGCAGGATAAGGGTTTATCACCGAACGCACACCTACACGTGTGCACTGCATCCCTGTGTGCTTCTGGGTGGATCGGCTTCTGCTAACTTGGCTAAATTTCATGAGCAAAATTCATTAGGGGTTTAATGGGTTTGTGGATGATACACCATGTCCGTGAGCTCGGGGGAGACTGCTGAGCCCCACGGATACAGAGCAGCCGCCCCCGTTTCTGTTATAATCGCACTGCCCTACACGCCCAGGGCAGGGCGGGGCTGTGCTCATCTCTGACCCCGGCCCCAGTGGCAGTGTCTGACAGGGCGAGCAGGTGCCCACACGACACAGCGGCATTTTGGCTCGGGCAGCAAGGCTCCAATACCTTTGTTGAAGTCATTCGGGTCCAGCGACAGGCTGTAGCCCGGAAGCGTCTCCAGGAGGAGCTTGTAGCAGGCCCTCCAGCCGGGCTCCGGGATGCTGGGGGCCACACACTGCATGGCGGCCACGCGTTTGAAGAAAGCCGACTTGCGCCGGAAGCCGATCAGGTCGTAGAGCTCGGAGAGGATGCTGTAGCGCTGGATCTTTTCCTCCTCAGAGAGCTGAGGCACAGGGAGCAAAGTGAAAAGCTTCAGAGACGCTTGCGAAAGCACAGAGAAGAAAAGCTCATCTGGGGATCATCTCTCAACATAATAAAGGTCACATATGATAAACCCACAGCTAACATCATACTCAATGGGGAAAAGCTAAAACCATTCCCCTTAAGATCAGAAACAAGACAAGGCTGCCCACTTTCTCCACTTCTATTCAGCATAGCTCTGGAAGTTCTAGCCACAGAAATCAGACAAGAAAAAGAAATGAAAGGCATCCAAATCAATAAGGAGGAAGTAAAATCGCCATTATATGCAGATGACATGATACTATATAGAGAGAACCCCAAAGACTCCATCAAAAAACTATTGGAACTGGGCCGGCCGAGTGGCGCAATGGTTAAGAATTCGCTTGGGATGCCAGAGGGCCCCGGTTCGGATCCCACATATGAGGGCCAGTGACACTGCCCTCTGCAGCTAAGATGCTGAACA